CTTACAAAGTGATGTCCGGTGGTCCCGCCAAACGCGAAGGGGTCTCCCTAGATTGTAGAGTAGTTCTTCCAAAGCTCCGGGATTCTACTTCAGCCTGGGCTTCCTCATCAGCCGCTGAGAAAGTTTCTCTACGTCAGCACCCAGCCGGACTCAGGACCCCCCAGCCGCTTTCCCCTCCCTCCCTCCCTCCTCACTCTACCCCGCTCCCCAACCCCCCTTTCCTAATCCGCTGACGCTCGCCGCCGCTCCGGGATCCAAGCTCCCTCCAGCAGCTGGTACTGCTGGGCTCCCCCTCTCGGTCAGTGACTTGTTCTTCCAGTCTCCAGTGGACTCTCTCGTAGTTCAGGGCAAAAAGAAGACCTCCTTGGCAAATGACAAATTGAACGCATGTGCTTTTATATCCTGATCTGTCACAGTACCCCCACCATCCCAAAACAACCGCCTGCATTTCAAGTCTCTGGTTTTAGAAAGCTTGCCGCAGTAACCTACGTTTATTGGATGAAATGGAAAAGCTGGGGGCGGGGGGTGGGGGTGATCTTAGAGACCCGGGTGTGGGGAGGGGAGTATTTGAGACTACCAGTCAGTGGCACGGATTTTCTCTCCCGGAATCCCCACTCTCCCACCCCCTTAATTTTAAAGTGGCTCGTGTATCCACTGTACTCTAGACACCATCGGGGTTTCCGGACGGTAAAGGGAGCAGAGGATTGTTTATCTCTTGGTCCTTCGTTAATATCTGACTTTCTGTTAGCAGAGTAAAACCTTCCTATGCTCTTTAGGTTCTTAACAAATCACTTTGGGACTTTGGCGGGGGGAAGCAGAAAAAGAATATTAGTAAAACATGCTTCTCCCACTGATCGAGAAAATATTTGCACAGCACTTTGCGTGGTGCTGCTCTGCCTTCTAGGACTTCTTCCAGGGCTTGTGGTCAGGTAACAATGACATCTTCTGACTTTTTGTAGTTTTGGATTTACAGAAAAAAGGAGACAAGGTATTGCTTCCAAACCCCTGCCTGGGGCCTCCTTTTGTCCCAGCTTGGAGCTCCCAGCTCTGTGATGCTGAACTTTCCTTTTCAAAGGAAATTTGCCTAAGTGACTGAGCATGCCCATCTCTCTTCTGGGAGGCGGTAGTAGTGTCTAGCATGAATGTCTAGCATGAGGGCAAGGGGAGGCCAAGGATCAAAGTATTATTACTGCTACTCTCTTCCCCGCGGGCTCCCCCTCCCTCCACATCCCTTCTGCTTTGGAGGGAGAGAAAGGGACTCGCTGCTGAAGCTTGGTTTATTATGGCATGAAAAAGAAGATACAAAATGGGACCCTTTATAAAATTTTGGCCGGAAGGGTCCAGTTTTAAATTTAACCAAAGATTAGAGGAAATGGACCTAAAATGAGATTGGATGTGTGTAATGTTTACCACACATTTTATGGATTTGGCTTTTGTAGAGCTGATCCTAAAAAGCTATTCATTTCCTCCTGGACTTCTTGCCAGCAGTTAGGATCAAGAGACTGTCTGGGGCTGCCAGGTTCCCCTAGGCATGGTTAACAGAGACAATGAATGGTATGCTCTTCTACTCGATACAAATCCAGTATTTGTTGAGCTTCTGTTGTGGGAAGAGTGCTTTCTAGAACCTGGAGAAGTAAAGATGCAAGTGTAGATAAGCTGCTGCCCCTGCCCTGGAGGAGCTTATGGTTTAGTAAAAAAAGATGATGTACCTACATAAATAGGTGTAATATTGAACATTATGTGGTAAGTGCATTAAAGAATTAAAAGGCAAAGTGCTATGTGGACTGAGGAATGGACTTCCTTATTAAGTTAGTGGGACACTGAGAAGGAATCTTAGAGGAGGTGATATTTGAGTAACACTTTAAAAAATAGATAATTCAACAGGCTACAGTCATCTTGAACAGCCCAAATAAACACAGAGCCCAATGGGAATCCTCCAGAAGATGAAGCAGAGAGCTAGTAGAGGGGCACATAATAAGATAAGGCAAGGTCTTCAGTGGCAGGCAAATTAGTTTAAACTTTACTCCATAGATAATAGGGAATGTAAATTTTGGTCAGGTGAATAACTGATCAGGTCTGTCTTTAAGAAAAATTATTCTGGTAGTGATATGAGAGATGGAGGGGAGAAAGGGTAGAGATTGGACGTGGAAAACCTGTAAGGAGGTAATCACAATTTGGAAAGTGTGTGGTAATGAGGATCAGTCTTAGGACAGTTATGTTTATTGTATTAAATTACAGCCACAGAATTCTAGATTGAGGAGGGAGGAAGGAAATCCTCTAGTCTGCTCCCTGTTTACAGGTATGGCAAGTGAAGATTAACTGTGTCAATCCATTTACCCAGGGTAGCACAGATAATTAGACTGTGACTTGAAAACCCAGATCTCATAACTCCCAGTCCAATGCTGTCTCCATTATACAAGTTGCCCCCTTACATTGAAACAGTTAAGTTCAAATATTAAAATATATTTTATTTAAAAGTATAGTGAGATTGTCACTAGATAGAAAACTGAACTGAGAATCAGGACCATCTTTTAGCTCTCACCTCTAAACCATAATGGCCATGAGACCCTAGGCTAAGACTAAATTACAAGACATTTCTGCCATACCCTGGCAGAGAGATTTTTCCAAATGGGAGTTCCTACACCTATGAAATTAAAAGGATGGACAAAAGAAAAAAAAGAATAGTATAAGGAGGTTACTTAAAATGAACTCTCATATTCAAAATTTTTTTTACAATATTCCAAATAGTAGAAAAAGTGCCTGGGCTATTTGAAAAATCCTTTGGTGAAAATCCAGATTTGAAAAACCTGCTAGAAGGAGTAAAAGTTAAAAAAAAAAACATATACAGTACGATTGGGTAAAAAGAGTTAAAAGTTAAATTACTGTCAAAGAAGCCCAATGAGGATAAGAAGGTTAAAAGGGACAAGATAGTATGAGATAGCATGTCCTCAGTGACCTCTCTGAGTTGATCTTGAGGAATGAAGAAACAGAGGTTTTTCTGTTCAGCTCATAGCATGGTATAGCGGAAAATGTGATAGAGTTAGAGTTAGGAAAGTTCACATTCCGGTTCTTCTGTCTAAACAAGAGCAAGTCAATTCACTTTACTAATCCTTATTTATAGGGTGGTTAGTTGGTGCAGTGGACAAGGCCTGGAGTCAGGAAGATCTGAGTTAAAAATCTAGTCTCAAACACTTATTAGCTGTGTGACCCTGGACAAGTCACTTAACTCCTATTTGCCTCAGTTTCTCACCTGTAAAATGGGGACCTACTAGGGAAGGACATGGCAAACCAGTTTCTCTGCCAAGAAAATTCCATGGACAAAGCCCATGGGGTCACGTAAAATCGCCTTTACCCTTAATGCCTTTTTGTGTAAGTGGAGGAATCATAATCCACAAAGCTGGTCCCTGGCCTAGACTGAGTGTGGCCAGAGAAAGATGTTCAAATCTCAGAAAAGGATAGCAGGGTAGTAAGTGCTTACTATGTATCTGGCAATATGGCCTTCTCTTTACTCTTTTCATTAGGATAATTTTATATTGTTATTATCATCATTGCTCATTTAAAATTTTAAAAACATCTATATAAGTAACATGATGCCAAAAATGCCAGACCATTTCATTATAGTTTCTATGGTTGCTATATAAATTGAATATCAGAAGATCCACACAATTCAACAACAACAATTTTCAGTTACTTCCTGGGCATGTATAGATGGTATGTAGACCAGTTAGGAAGACCTCAATTCAAATTCAGCCTCAGACACTTACTATGTGATCCTGGGCAAGATATTTGCCTCTATTTGCCTCAGTTTCCTCATCTATAAAATGGGGATAGTAATAGCACCTTCCTCCCAGGGCTATTTTGAGAACCGGAGGAGATAATAATTGTAAATTGTCTGACACGTAATAAGTGCTATATAAATGTTAGGTAGTAGTAGTAGTAGCAGTAATAGTAGTCAAGTATGGGGAGGGGGAATACAGAGGAGAGGGTGGCTTATAGCAGAATGCCTTGCACAGTCAGCTTCTTGAATTGTATTTCTTCATATTGTATCTAGAGTTTAGTTTGTTATATATAAATGACAGTAAGTAGTATAATATCCAGTGTTAGCATTCTGTGATTTTGATTTAGTGTTTTAATAAAAATCTATTTTAATAGAAAAAAAGCAGTTCTGATTGGATTATATGTTCAATGCCTTGAGTTTCAGCTAACTATAACTGGGGACAAGGCAGACTGTTTAGCATATGCTACCTGACATGGTCACCACCATCCAGCTGGTGCTAGACTACTGGCAAAGCACCTGTGAGGAAGTAACCAGCCTCTAGAGGGCATACCTTGCAAATGCAGTTCAGTTAAGTAATGGCAAACATTATAGACATATTTATCAACAACAATTTCATCCTTCCCCTCTTTTCCCCTCATGGCTTTAAATAGGGAATCCTTTAATCTCACACCTAACTGTTCTCATTGGATCTTTTACACCCCAGTGAAAATCCCTACCCTCATTCTGACTCCCCAGTTCTTAGAGTTGAAGTCCCTGTGGCTTCCTTTGGGAATGGCAGCTCTCTGACTTCTCAGAGTCTTGACTTCAGTTAACAAGAAAAGTAATTTCCCAAAGGTTGTTCCTTCTTTCTCTTTTCCTTTCTTTGAGACTTAGCAAAAAAGTAGAGAGGAAGGTTTTTTGTTGCTTTTTAAATGAGGAATCATGATCCATAGAGTTTAAGTGACTTACCAAAGGTTACACAGTAAATAACAGAGCCCAAATCTAAAGTCAGATCATTTGACTTGAAATCCATCACTCTTTTCACTTTCCCTTGCTACTTGTCTTCTGATTGAAGGGCTGTGAAGAAATTGCCTTAAAATCTACCATCCTACAAAAGACAAATAGCTACAGGGGAAGAAACCTAGTACATGGAATAATATTGAAATAGGGTCTTAAAAATAATCTTTGCCACATTAAAGAATTCCTTTTAGAAATGAATTTCTAGAGGGCAGCTAGGTGGTGCAGTGGATAGAGCACCTGCCCTGAAGTCAGGAGAACCTGAGTGCAAATCCTAACTCAGACCAAACACTTGATACTTACTGGCTGTGTGACCCTGGGCAAGTCTTAAAAAAAAGAAATGGATTCCTGACTTCTTTATATCTAAT